GCCCCGACCGTATGATTTATACGTGGCCGCATAATGTGTCACATCCTTCGATGAGCCTTCCGATTGCATAAGTGACTACGGGGTTAACGTCGCGACTGTTGAAAGCCTCGATGTGGCGCCAGCCTCTTTCCATTGTATACGTAATACGTGTACACACGCGCGCGCCTTCTCTCCGTGTGCGTTCATTCACCGTGGCTCGGTATGCGTTTCCACGTCCAACCGGGTCTCTCGAAACCCGGTGGAAGATGTTTGCTTTGCTTCTTCGCTTCGCGATAGAAAACGCGCGCCGTGTACAACGATGGAGGGAACGCGGTTCAAGGTGTCTCACCTTGGCCCTTCGATAATAACAGACGTGATCGGGAACCGACGCTGACAGCCGAGATAATTGGACGGACGAGGAGGGAGGGAGGGAGGGAGGAGGGAGGAGGGGGGTTATCTTAATTCGGATTCGGCCGCGGATTTTTTTTCAGTCAGCCTCGTTTTCGCATGCGCAGATAGGCGATGATTGCGACACGTAGGGCAGGGACGATTGGTGGTGTAGCGTCTGATTGCTTTGAATGTCGCGATGATTGTGTTGACGGGCACGAAATTTTTCGAAGCAGGTTGGCAGCTTGGCTTTGGGGTTCGTTTTCGATTGGTTGTGGATTTTTCTTTCTTTCTTTTTTTTTTGTTGTTGTACAGCAGGATTTGAGGATAATTGATGATTGGGAGGATGTTTGTGAATCGGAGGGAATTGGAAATCGTTGCGGTTTTATTTTATCGGATTGAGAAATTTTGTTAAAAGATACTTGACTTCCATTTCACTAATAACACTTTGCACAACATCGACTCGACTTTCCAGAATAAGATTCAAGAAGATTTTCCCCAATTTTACAACTCTCTTTCCCAGAAATAATAACCAAGCTAAACAACGTCATTCTGTTAACGTTACTCTCGACAAAGTCACGATTTCCCTCCTTAGATCCGCCATTCCTCTCGTAAATTCACAGACCACAGGACTAACACTTCAAGGAACACCGTAATCATCGATATACGTCCGAACGAATTTTCGAACCTTCCAACGATACCGAGGGATCGTGAATACGACAAAGGGCGGCACGAATAAAAGGATCAAAGGTTTCGAGCAGGGAAGAAACGATGGTACCATCTGAACCGTTAATGAGCCACGTACCTGTTCCCAAAAAGCTCGAATATTGTTTCTCCCTTCGAGCGGACAACCTCAAGGGTTGCGCCTCGACAATGAATCGAACAATGGGGGGGG